TGAAAGTTTGGACAAGTTTGTATAGGACAGATCATAGCTTTGACAGTAGAAAAGTTTTTACCGGGAGAACAATATATTCAGAAGGATAAAACCAATTTGGTATAGATGCACATTGATCTACACTTCATGAACTTACCCTGTCAGGTCAGTCCGTCCAAATGTGTTTTCAAGCCGACAACCCCGCAAAGAGAAGCAGGAATTCGTATTGAACCTGGACTTCAGATGAATAAAGCCTGAAAATCTTATAATTATTTCAAAAGAAGATACTAATTCACTAGCCTGATATGTTATACAACCTCCACCATCTGTTCCCAATGCTGCTGAACACAATCCAGAAGCGACAATTGCAGCTGAACCTGAGGAAGAACCACCTGTGTATCTTTTTGGATTATGCGGATTTCCAGGTGTACTGCCATAGGAAAATGCTCATTAGTGATGTTAAAGGTAAAATATACACTCAACCTAAAATATACCCAAGCAGCATTCGTTCTTCAACATTCGCAAAACCAATGTTTAGCATTTATCTTTATCAAGTTTGCTTTAACAAAAAATGAATAAAAGAAGTCATGTCAAAAGGTTACCACTTCTAACATTTGCTTATTTGTAGGTTCAAGGCAAAAGTTTACCCGTAATTCGGATTATTCCCTGTTGTGCCCATACCAAACTCATGCATATTTGTCTTTCCTACTAAAATTGCACCACTGCTTCGTAATCTTGACACAGAAACTGCATCTGTGTTTACCTGGCGAACCTCATGAAACCATGTAGAACCACCTGCTCTTTTTTACAGGGAAAAATTTTCAGCTAAAAATGGCAGAGATATTCGCAGAGGAAATGAGAAGTTAAACACATACCCTTTGAAGGATGAGGAAAGCAATCAATGTCATCCTTGACTGCAATTAAAATTCCATCCAAGATCGACAATGGTATTCCTTCATGACCACATCGGAATAAAACAAAAACAGATGAAAAGAAAAATGCTTCAGTAATGAGATCTACAGACTTGGCACAGCAATTCAAGATATGCTTTATTGCAGGAAATTAATATCAATCTTCAGCTTTTATTTGATGGCTTGTACTATAATTAAAAGATGCAAGAAACTGTGAATTGCAATGCGTAGATTCTCAGAACAGCCAATTTATGCGCATCAACAAATTAAAATACCTTCTTCAAATCTTTGAGTGGAAGCTGCAGCTTGCCTTCTCACCTCCTTGGGGTTGAAGGAGATTAATAATGGTGCTGAGGGCTGCTTATCATTAAGTACCTCTATTGCTGAGATAAAATGCTCTGCAACCTTTAGCACAATAGAGCTTTTTAGTACTCTTGAAGATGACCAAAATAGGAACAACCAATGGAAAGTCACTTGCCATAGATGGGGTCGTAAACTTAGATCTGTAAGCATATCCATAATCACGAATTTTCCAGTAGCGGAATGGGAACGGTTCTCCTGAACCAGAATTCCAACTGCTAGAAGGATCATAATGTGGAAGACACTTCAAGGCTAAATCAATCCGTTCTTCAGGTTTTACATCTTCTTCTAAGCAAACAACACCAGGCTCTGGATCTAAATTCATATACATACTAAATAAGTCAGTAACATTAGAAAAGCACCTTAATAATTCCTGAATTCCAACTTCAACAAAATCATGGAATGCCCACAGTGTTATGCTTCTTTCCAGTTACATGTCAGAAAATCAGCTGAGCATTAGTTTATCAACAATAATGTCATGCTCAAGGAGTGAAATCTAAGTGGTAAAAACCTTAGCCTCAGATATATAGGATAGCTATTAGCTCAAGAACTTTTGCTGGCAAGAAGTTTATAAGATCCACCAACTAATAGAAAAAAGAAGAGAGACAACACGGAGTAAAGTAAGATAGCCAAGCAGAGCCATCTCAATGGAATGACATATCCTAAAGGAAACGGTATCTTCCTACTCCAAGAAAAAAAATTATGTATACTAAACATACAATATACAACAACAATAACAACAACAACAACAACAACAATAACAATTAAGCATCAATCGCAAGCAAGTTGAGATCAGTTATATGAATCCTCCATATCCATGTCACTCCGTTTTGAGCCCGTTTCGGTCTAATATTATTATTAGAAAGAAAGAAAAAAGAGTTAATTTCACTAGCACTAGAAGTTATCTCCATTTTCTACCAGCATATAATGAAGGATATGGACATTGGGCCTAACTCAACCCCAAAAGCTAGCTCATGAGGTGATGATTGCCCAAGCCATAAGGAGACCAAGTCCCCCATCCCTTAGCCGATGTGGGAGACTCAACACCCCCCGGCACGTTCAGGCCTGCCAACTGGAACGTGAACAATATAATATAGGGGCCCAACATCGGTGAAACAAAGAATTGGGATGGGTCCGGCTCTGATACCATAATAAGATATGGACATTGGGCCTAACTCAACCCCAAAAGCTAGCTCATGAGGTGAGGATTGCCCAAGTCATATAAGGAGACCAAGTCCCCCATCCCTTAGCCGATGTGGGAGACTCAACCCGAAGCAAATTGTATTAGCATGAGTAAAACCTAATCTTAACTAATTGGTATTCCCTACATAGATGGTTTTTCGTCCATTGTGCCCTAAACTAAACATACAATATGATAAACTAATTGAAAGATAAAAGCAGCACGAGCTTAATACTGAACCTTGAAGAGGGAACTGGGGAATGAACATGGGCACCTCCGGGATCACGGTATTCTTGAGAATCTGACAATCAAAACCATCAGTTTAATTTCTAAATCTCCCTTTTATACATAGAAAGAAATCAAAAGTGTGTATACAAACAAACCTCAGTCATTCCATTCTTCTGCTTCAGGTGAGTGGTAATTAAAGAGCCAATTAAAGGTGCCTCCATTACTTTAACAAACAACTTGAACCAAAAACCAGTCAAATGTGGAGCTGCAAAATGACACTTTGATCATAACCAAGAAACTCGATTTAAGGGACGAAAATGAAGAAAATGATGAAATAAAAACCTTCAAATTTTTCCGGCACATATTTCACTTCAGTGAGGTCTACTTCATTAACCGGCACCATCACTTGCTTTTTCCCCATTTTTAAGTCAAATTGTTTGAACTGAACAAAAACATAAGAAATTATCAAAAGAATAAAATTGATTGAAACTTGGTATTTTTAGGATTATAAACTTCAATTATAGATAGATAAATCATCTTACACTTGCTTCACAGAGCACTGGATGTCGCAAACAACGGCTTTTTCTGCCTAAGACCAATAGCAACGAAGAACCATTGAAGAGTCAACAATGATTTCCTAATTTTTCATCCTGACAGCGACAGTTACTTTAAATGTTACTCCTACTAACTAAGAATTCTCATGCGATTCTATGTTCGTACTTTGTCTTTGGTCCCGAAAGTAGGAACTTAGAAATGGTCTCAACTACCAACTACTTTAAACTTCAGCAAATTACAAATAATGATCTTGAAAATAAATGCTCTTAATTTTTTGATTCTTGCTTGTCCAGCAAATATTTAAGGTTAAAAGTATTGCCTTTAAAGTTATGCTCATGAAGCAATCGGGATCAAAAATTCAATAATAGCACCTGAAGTGACCTATTTGTGCAAATCACCCTTTCAATTTAGTTCATTTGGAACCATAATTCCACACATTGTTACGTGGAAAAATGACACCGCATAACAGCCGAAAAAATATATTTTTTTTATATATATATATATTCTGTATGTTATATATAAAAAAATATACAAAATTTATACACTTTTTCGGCTACCAAACGTAAATAGTTTCTGGCACGGGCTAAAAAGTGATAATACCTCTTGTTACGTTCCTTGGACGTATCTGGATTTTGGTGGGAGGAATTTAAAAATAGCCAGATTTACAAGTGGTCATTCAAAAATAGCCACAATTTCAAAAGTAATCGAAATTTAGCCACTTTTCATATAAAGATAAATGTGAACGAAAACACTGTTCAAAATCCAAAAAAATACTCCAATATAATATACTGGAACTCCAGTATAATATACTGGAACTTTCCGCGTGTTGGAGTTCCAGCAAAATATGCTGGAAGATCATACACAAGTGCACCGATCTCCAGTATATTATGCTGGAACATTCCGTGTTGCAGCAAAATAGTGGTTATTTTCTATAACTTTGCAAACGCTGGCTATTTTTGAATGATCAGTCCGAAAACTGGCTAGCCCGTGCTATTTACGATTTTGGTGTGATGTTGGGCCGGGATCCTTCGCCCTTAGGTCAGAGTCATAATCAAGCCCATTGCTGAAGAACTAATCCCAAATTCCCGATTTAGAAATGTTCTTTCTGCTAGGGGTGCAATATTTCCAGAAGTAAGTAAATTCTAAATGTTTACATATATATGGTCACATCTCCAGTTGTTGTGTATCCCAAAAAAAAAACAAGGAAGTTCAAATACTAATTACCAAGAGAGACATGGGAAAGAAATTAGAATAAAAGATTGTGAATGAATTGAAAATAGTTGCTTTGACCCAAAAAAAATTGCAAGACTGTCACAAACAACAACAACAACAACTACCCAGTAAAATCGCACGGAGTGGAGTCTGGGGAGGGTAATGTGTACGCAGACCTTACCCCTACCCCGATAGGGCAGAGAGGCTGTTTCCGATAGACCCTCGGCTCAGAAAGACGGAAATAAAAACAAGAAACAAGAAAAGACAGTTCATTAGTAACTCCAGTAGAAACCGTGATAGTAACAGAAGCATAACAACCAAAAGATGAATGACATGCAATAACAGTAACCAGAATCTAAGGTCCGGGACAAACAACAAGGATAGTGTGGATTCAACTTAAACTGCAAACCATCTTAGATCAATCCTAAACAACCCCGCCTCACCCCCGGTAAGAAGTAAGGGAAGCTCTACTACCCCCTAACCTACAACCCTAATGCTTGACCTCCAGACCTTCATATCAAGGGCCATGTCCTCGGAAATCTGCAGTCGTACCATGTCCTGCCTGATCACCTCCCCAAAATTGTCACAAAGAACTCTATAAATTAATGTTGAAAACCAACAACTATAATTCGAATTGTGACATCTTGTCTGCAGGGGCGGATTTAGGGGGCGGAAGGGGGTTCACCCGAACCCCCTTCGCCGAAAAAGTACACTGTATATATAAGGCAAAATCTGTTTTTTATCTCTATATATTAAGTTTTGAACCCCCTTAACACAACTTGAAAGTGTAGTTTAGTGGTCAAGGGGGTTCAAAACCTTCATAAAGTCAGAGGTTCAATTCCCACTAGCTACAAAAAAAAAAATTTTAACCCCCTTCATAGAGATCCTGCCTCCGCCACTGCTTGTCCGTTAAACTGTTTAATAGAAGACATCAAAATGAGCCTAATAGTATGTACTTTTGGCCAAGTAAAAGAGTTTGAGTTATATGTACTGTATATCAAAATTTTTTACCCATCAAGTTATGTAAATATCTTATTTTCAATATTACAAATTCCACATTTTAAGGAACTCTTACGTGTAAATATGTTTACACAGACAATGTATATAACGTAAACTCTAAATAAAAAGAAGGAGGCAATAAATAGGGACATTTGCATCTATACACGTTTTTTGGGTCACGTTTTAACTTGTACCTACTTTGCAAAAAAATTGCAAGTGTACCCACTTTTTCGCGTAACTTCAGCATATGGGCCTGAAGTAGCAAACGCAAACTTCAGCATTCTAGTAGACGGGCCTGAAGTAGCAAAAATTGCTGAACCAAGTGTGCTGAAGTTTTTATTTGTAATTGCTGAACTTAAGCATTCTAGTAGCTGAAGTTTTATTCTCTATTTGCTGAAGTTTTTGTTTGTAATTGCTGAACTTCAGCATGTTTTAGCTGAAGTTTTTCACGTAAACTTAGTGTTGGCTGAAGTTTTTGTTTGTAATTGCTGAACTTAAGCATTCTAGTAGCTGAAATTTTGTTCTCTATTTGCTGAACTTCAGCATGTTTTAGCTGGAGTTTTGTTCTATATTTGCTGAACTTCAGCATATTTTATGCTATCATGTAATTGATTTTCTGTACAGATAATAAGTTTATCATAAGTAGAATTAGTAACTTAAAAAACTAGATAAATGATTAGCACAACAGGTTAAAATGCATTGATAATGTACAAAGTTGAATCCAACAAGTTACTATCATCTTCTTCAAAACTTACTTTAGAAAGTTATTTATAATTTATTTTTAAATAATCTGATAAACATACTTATGGCAATCATCCCCATGAACTGAAGTTTCATAGCAGCATCAACAGCAGCAGAAGAAAGAAGAAGAAGAAGAAGAAGAAGAAGAAGAAGAAGAAGAAGAAGAAGAAGAAGAAGAAGACAAAGGAGGAGAAAGGGGGCTGAAGTTGTTTAAAAAGTGGGTACAAGTTAAAAAAAATTTAAAAAATGGGTATAGGTTAAATGGGGGCGACCAAATAGGGCATTCCGTGTAATTTTTACAAATAAATAAGGACGAGAGAAGATGAAGGCGAGAGTAACAGCCCGTTTATACATTAAAAAAAATTCATTTTTTTCTAAAAATTTTCACTTTTTTTCGAAATCAGTGTTTGACCATAAAATTTCCACTTTTCATTTGAAGATACGTTTTGGAATTTTTCGAAAATTTGAAAAACTCCAAAAAACTGTTTTTCAAATTTTTCAGATCATTCACAAAACTTCAAAAATAACCCAAAATATAATTATGTTCAAACACAACTCTAATTTTCAAATACTATTTCACTTTAAAAAAATTTTACTATTTTTTTTTGGAATTTTACAAGGAATTTTTACCTCCTATAGCAAAGGTTAACACCTTATTTATTTTAAATAAATACTATTTAAAAAATTATATTCTATAGATACCTTTTAATGTTTATAGCAAAATATCTAATTTTGGTTACCTCCTACTCCTAAGCCACTAAATACGCTATTCAGTTACAATATTTTCTTTCTCTCTCTACTTTGATACAACTTTTACCTCAGATTTCTCATAAAGAGCTCTCCCATTCCTTCACCCACCATCGCCACTCTTCTTCCTCCATATGGAATATTAAATCCTGAACCCTTCAGTTGCAAAGCTGAAAGCCGATAGTTCTCCAGAAAGCCTTTCACTCGAGAGATAGAAAGCTGAAATGGGGAGCTAATGTCTTGGTATTCCTGCAAAGACAGTCTTTGATTTCCTGTGTGTAATCATAAGAATCTTGGATGTCATACATCCAAACTCAAACTCACAAACAAAATCTCAATCTTACTAAAAGCCATGTCTTTTTTGTGTCAAAGGAAGCTAAAGAACGGATTAAGCTATGCCTCCGATCAACGGCGGCGTGTGAATAGTGAGATTCAGGGTTTTTGCTCGACGGCGGATTCGCCGAAAATTAGGGTTTGTTCTTGAACAAAGACGACGGAGTTTGGGGCTGAGCAACTTGATTTTCTGTTAATATATTTTAATATTTTTTCAACGTATCACGCTGTAGTTTCATGTATTTTATTGTATTCATTGTCTTTTTTTCATTGGAATTCAATGTATCTCGTTGTATTCCATGTATTTCATTGTATTCACTGTCTTTTTTTCTCATTGTATTTCAATGTATCCCGCTGTATTCTATGTATTTCATTGTATTCACTGTCTCGCTATACGCCATGAATGTATTCATATGTTTTTTTAATTAATATAATTTATGTATTCAGATGTATTATATAATTTCTCTGAAGATTGCTATGCTTTTGGGGTATTTTTCGGTTGAGAATCTTTTTTATAACTAAAAATACAAAATTTGTGTGTATAATAGAGTTTGTCGAGTTATTGATAATAGGTGAATTTGACTATAATCACGCACCGAATAACCACCTTCTTGTGAACTTTAATGTGGAAAAATGACAACAAAATGCTCTTATTGGTACTTTTCATGATTTGCAGGTGATATAGGTGTAAGGAAGGCTAAGGAGCAGTTTGGAGTCAACTATTGATGAAAAAAAAGGCTAATTGTTGCATTTCCCAAGTGACCCATTCAAAACAGGCCAAATTGCCCGGGTACAGGGTCCACCGCGGTTCCACCGCGACCGCGGTGAAACCGCGGTGGAAGGTAGTCTCTGAATAATTGAAGATCCGCGAGGGTATTTTACCGCGGTTCTACCGCGATCGCGGTAGAACCGCGGTGGACACAGAAACTTCGGGGACCAAAGTGTAAAACACGGGATTTTTAGACCTAAACCCTATTTTAAACACTAGACTTCGCCCAAGAGAGGCATGTATTGATTTTTTAGGTTTCTTAGCAAGGAGAACAATTGTGAGAAAGTACTCTAAACATCTTTCTTCTTTTCTTTTGATTTTATGATGAATTCAAGTTTAGTTTATTCTCCCATAACTATGAGTAGCTAAATTTCTTGTCTAAGGCTTTGATGGAACCTATTGGGTGATGAACTTCTTGTTTATGTGAATACAAATTGCTAGTTTAATCTTTATTTGTTCAACTTCGTGTTCGTTGTAG